CTCGTCTTTGGACTGCTTGCGATAGAATCGGGCACAAAGGCTTCCCTAACAACCGTAAACCCTACACCCTAAAAAGCCCTACACCCTAAACCCTCAACCCTAAACCTTAAACCTTAAACCTTAAACCCTAAACCCTAAACCCTAAACCCTAAGCCCTAAACCCTCGGCAGGGAACAAACAGAGCTGTAGCCCTCCGCATGGCACCTCACTGGTCACCGTCTGGATGCCCTGCGAGAAGTCCTCCGACACACACCCCCGGGTTTAGGGTTTAGGGTTTAGGGTTTAGGGTTTAGGGTTTAGGGTTTAGGGTTTAGGGTTTAGAGTTTAGGGTTTCGGGTTTGGGGTTTAGGGTTTAGGGTTTAGACCCCCAAGACCCATCCCAAAAGAAGGATGGGCAGGGAAACAGCACCATGAAGATCAGATGGCCCAAGAGCCACAGCCCAGGTGCTTGGAAGCTCCTTTTGACGTAGTAAGTCTACTGAGTCCCCCCTCGAAACCTTTGCACACTTCCCAAACCCGGGACCCAACTTGCTAACCCTAATTAAAGCCTCAGCCCTAAGCCCTAAACCCTAAACCCTAAACCCTGAACCCTAAATCCGAAACCCTAAACCCTCAACCCTAAACCCTAAACAGAGCTTCCAAGTACCCCAACCTCGGCTTTGGTAAATGAACAAACTCCTCGAGCCGCTGAAGCCCTAAAGCCTCAACCACGTACTTAGTTGCTGAGTTCAGAAGCCCCCCAAAAGTTTTGTAGAGATGATAGTACCCCAAAAAGTGTACAGTGTACTCACTCAGCTACTAAGTGTACATCGCAAAGAAACATATACACCCTCAATCCGAAGCTAGGGTTCAGGGGCCATTTAGGCCTAGAGTTTAAGGTTCCGGGCTTCGGGTTTAGGGCTTCGGGTAAGCCTGAGCCCTAATTAAGCCCTAAACCAGACTGGGTTGAGGGTTTAGGGTTCAGGGCTTTCGTTGAGGCTTTGGGATTCAGGTACGTCGGAAGACCCCAGCCTTCAGGAAAGGACCCCGAAATTCTACATCCTTGCCAGTCCTGTGTTTCGCTCATCAAGTAAAGCCTGTCACGGAGTTGTGGGCTTTGGGGTTGAGGGTTTGGTACGCAGGGCGTGTTGGGGTGCAGGGGTGGGTGTTGCACGGAGTACTGAAGACAGAGTACGTTTCAGTCCTCACGGGGCATGTTTCAGCTTGGGTTTAGGGTTTAGGGTTTAGGGTTTAGTGTTTAGGGTTTAGGGTTGTGGCGATTTGAGGGCCCAGCGAATGCCTCGAATACACCAAGTGGTCAATTTGTTTGTACGGGGATGCGGACAGCTCAGTTTGCAATGGTTACCTTTCGGGCCTGAACGTTACGGAGCTACACTGTTCGACGCTCGCCCACACACGTGCCGGAAGAAAGAGAGATGTGGACATAGAGCAGGACGTCGAGTTTTGTAAAGTGCAGATGAGAAGCAGCACGGTGAATGTTATGCCATTATTTGCCATGGTTCTTGTTATGATTATTCTTGACTATGGCTATTCCCCTTTTTTGCTACTGGGAGTATAGTGCCACTTGTGCTGGTGTTTGTAGTGCACGAACTTGTTCGTAGCAGTGGCCCTAGGCTCCGAGATCTACAAACCCAACTCCATGCAGTGAGATGACCCCAAATTTGTTCGGGTTCTAGGGCTTAGCGTGTGCAGGGTTTCGGGTTTAGGGTTTAGGGTTTACCTCATTATTATATACTTGGGCCCAAGTCCTCTTAGGAGGTACATTCAGGCCCAAGTATTCCCTTTTTAGGTACATGGACCCTTAGGGGTTTAGGGTTTGAGGTTTAGGGTTCAGGGTTTAGGGTTAGGGTTTAGGGGTAAACCCAAGGAATGCAAAACTTTCCGCCTTGCCTTCGTCTCTCCAGATCTACGCGCACTTCTCCTTTACCTGGCCGGCTGTTAGGGTTTAGGGTTTAGGGTTTAGGGTTTAGGGTTTAGGGTTTAGGGTTTAGGGTTTAGGGTTTAGGGTTTAGGGTTTAGGGTTTAGGGTTTAGGGTTTGGCGTTTAGGGTTTGGGGCTTAGGAAGTGATGGCTTCAAGCTTTGGGTTTCTGGGAGCCTAGGAGTTCGGGTCTACGGTAATGGCCTGTTCAGGGTTTAGGTTTAACTAGGGCTGTATGCCATGAACAAACGGACATGGCACGTCCGTACAGCTAGGGGTGTACACCTTGCTCTTCAAGGGGTGGATGCTTCAAAGCGCAAAAGCTTCTCCGTTTCGGTTACATACGACATCCGCAGTATAACTGCCACAGTCTACAAACCCGTTTAATCCACAAACGACCGAAAGACACAAGCCCGAAAACCCTAGGTCCTACATGCCCCCTAAACGCATCGGCGAACCCTAAACCCTAAACCCTAAACCCTAAACCCTAAACCTTAAACCCTAAATCCGAAACCCTAAACCCCAGGGTTTATTGCTTAGGGCATCCCTCCCCTCCCAAAACCCCCTAAACCCTTACACACCAAGGAAGCCTCAAACTGAGCCCTGAACAGCCAGGAAAGGTTGCAACCCAAAAGACTTAGGATTCAGGGTTCAGTGCTAGTTTAGGGATTGAGTACGGCTGAGGGCCAGGGATTTAGGGTTTAGGGCTTGTATACCCTGACCACTGGAAGCCCTGTGACAAACCATTCAAACCCTTCAAGCCCTTTTAAAGCCCTTTCGGACCCTTACAACGACTTCAAGCCCTCCCCCGTACGAACCCTTCAACCTTTTAGAAAACAAAGCTTCAAACCCTAAACCCTAAACCCTAAACCCCAAAGAAAACCCTCAACGCGGCTCGTGCCCCCGGTGGGGCCTCGATGGCGTTCCCGCCAGGTTTCGCCAGTGAACTTCTGCCCGGCAGCGACTTTCCCTGGTTAGGGTTTAGGGTTTGGGGTTTGGGGTTTAGGGTTTAGGGCCTGTGGGTTTCTTGTTTAGGTTGAAGGTGTAGGGTTTAGGGCTTCTTGGTTTAGGGTTTGAAGTGTTAGGGTTGATTAGGGCTCAGGGCTTAGACTTATGAACCTCTAGGCGTGCAACCTTAGGGGTACGAATCGAGTCTTCATCCCATGCAACCCCTAACCCTGAAACCCGAAACCCTAAACCCAGGTTCCTTCTCCCAAAACCCTAATTATATCAACAAAAACCCTGAAACCCTGAGTCAGTCTTGAGTCTTGAGTCTTAACCCAAAACCCAACAATGCACGTGCTGTATGAACACATATGAGTCATGTGAGCTGTCTTTTTTTCATGACCCCTGGCCCATGGCTGTATCCGGATAGGTGTTGAGCTCAGCGAACTTGAAGATGTGGGGCTCAAACTGCAAGCGACGCCCTGGAAGGCCTCCCCACCACTGCAGCACATTGACTGTCACATTGACCTCCACACACGGCCTGGCTGGCCTCCCCCCGCACCACTGCCTTGCAGTGACACAGCTTTGGGCAGCACCGTGCGAAGAGATACAGTGAAAGACAGACAGACGGACAGACGTCACTGAGGGCCCTTGGAAGTGCGCCGGAAATCTGCCCGTGACCATAGCGTCACAAGTACTCATATCCATCAGCATAGTAACCAGGCGGGGGGGGCGCCAGGGCTTTGAGGTGTTGAATATGTTGCAGAATTTGCGGTGGGCAGTGCTTTGGTTCGGCGTTCGGAGTCAAAGGCTTTAAGGGTTTCATTGGGCTTTACAACCACAAGCCCTATAAACCCTAAACCTCAAACCTGCTGAGACCTTATAGGCTCTACCCTAAAACCTAAACCCTAAACCCTAAACCCTAAACCCTAAACCCTAAACCCTAAACCCTAAACCCTAAACCCTAAACCCTAAACCCTAAACCGTCTAACCTGGGAATAAAACAGGGTGCCCTTTTTGGGTTGCAAGGGGTTTCCAAGAGAACCCAAGCCCCCCCAACAAAAAGTGAATAACTAGGCTAGCTAGGAGGGCCCTTAAAATCTTCTGATTGAAAAGTATTCCTAAGTAGGATCCTCTTAAACCCAATGTTTAGGGTTCAGGGTTTAGGGTTTAGGGTTTAGGGTTTTCCTGAATAGGATCCTCTTAAACCCAATAAAAGGAGAACATAACATGCCCCAGGGGCCGACCCTTGCTAGTAGACCGCTTCTTCTGATACAGGGGATGGGGCATGCGCAGCAGAGTTCGGGTTGAGGGTTTCATCCCCCTAAAGGGGTTTAGGGTTTAGGGTTTAGGGTTTAGGATATGTTAAACTTAAAATCTAGGACGGCGCCTTCAGTAAGGGGGGTTTGGGGTCTTCTACATTTCCTCCACGGCTGCGGAAGCCCAATCCCTTGAAAAGGTCTCCGGGTTTCGGGCTAAGGCTCGCAAACATGAGTTCGGGGTGTAGGGTTTAAGGGACCCAGTCTCGGTGAATGTTAATCTGTGCTTGGATCGTTGCAGGCCATTTCTTCCCTTGATTCCTGAGCCATCGTTGAAACCGAGGATCTTCTTTTAGCGTAACTTCTTTCTTGTTTGGGGCGCGCCAACCACGGCAACCGAAATGCGCAAAGGCCTTGTGGATAGCCCTCGAGGGGGAAGGTCGACTCGAATGTGAACCTGTCTGGGGCCACTTCTGTCCATTGCGGGCCTACACTTTGTAGAGCTGGTGCGGAGGTTTGAGGTTGGATCCTGAATGCGTTCCCCTCCCCACTCTCCCCCCCCCCCATGACGCACCCCCTCCTCCCCCGTACACGACATATCAAGCCCGGCCAACTTGACTACAGAGGGGAGATCCCTGCAAAAGAAGGTCCTTCATTGGGGTGCTTTTTGACTTGCTACAGTTTAGGGTTTTAAGCCTTCGGGGCTGATAGGGCTTTCAAGACCTATTGATTTGAAGCAGTTTGGTTACACTTTGGAACTGGTAAAGGGCCCTCTTGGTAGCAACCCTCGCATCCTGCTCACCCGCCGGGCTTCAGAGAACCCTCGCAGCTCAAAGCGCAGAGCATTTTGTCCGGACGATGCTCGGCACCCATTGCCTCAGGTAGCCCCGGCGTCAACCAGCAGTCGCACGACTGGAGTGCGACCGTGGGTCGCTGCAAGTATCAGCGCCGTCTGTCCGGAGCTGTCGCACAGATCCGTGTCGGCGCCCGCCTCAAGGAGCAACCGCACGACTGACTCACGACCGAGCCACGCTGCAGTTATCAGCGCCGTCCGGCCCTTCAAATCGCAAAGATCCGTCTGCGCACCGGCGTGCAGTAGCAGCTCCACGACTTCAGAATGACCGCTCCATGCTGCATACATCAGTGCTGTACGGCCCTCGATGTCATGCACATCCTTCTGAGCACCCGCCTCCAGGAGCAACTGTGCGACCTTCGCGGTGCCACCCTGAGACGCCCTCATCAATGGCGTACGGCCACCAGCATCTCTCGCAGCATCCGGGTCGGGGTCCATCGGGAGCTGCAGCAGAGCTTCAACCTGAGAGATAATGAGAAAAACCGTTGCTTCCTTTACGAGGATCTCAGAAGAACGGGTTCCGAGATTACATGGTGAGTTCTGTGACTGATGGTCTTTTTTGGGTCCTTCTGATAGGGCGGCCCCTCTTCGATAGGGTACCCCAAAAGGGAGCCGAATTTGCAGAACTCTTCATCTACTGAGTAGGGTTGTTCCGCAACCCTAAACCCTAAACCCTAAACCCTAAACCCTAAACCCTAAACCCTAAACCCTAAACACGATAGCGCCCACACCCTGCCTTGGCCGCATTGCCAAACCAGGCCGCATTATTCAGCTCCTGCCTCTGCCTTGGTAGCCCAGTAACCATCCTAAAAAATTAGGGTTTAGGGTTTAGGGTTTAGGGTTTAGGGTTTAGGGTTTAGGGTTTAGGGTTTAGGGTTTAGGGTTTAGGGTTTAGGGTTTAGGGTAAAAAAGGGTACCACTGGGCTACCAAGCTGCTCCTCCGAAACCTCGGAGAAGGCCACGATCAAGATCTGCAGATCCATGGCGGTTTCATCGGTCTCCAACCTAGGATGAAGATGCCCCTTATAAAACCCTCCGAAGAAAGAATCCTGAAAATGAGCCTCTCCCCAACAAGGGAAAATATGAAAACCCTAAACCCTAAACCCTAAACCCTAAACCCTACACCCTAAACCCTAAACCCTTAAACCCTAAAAACTAAACCCTAAACCCTAAATGTCCCATGGGCCTTGCTAGCAACTTGACGGCATCATCCAAAGGGTGGCCATCTTGAAGAAGCCTTTGCCGGAAGCGTGGCGGCAGGCCGTGCTCCTGATGCTTAGGGTTTAGGGTTTAGGGTTTAGGGTTTAGGGTGTAGGGTTTAGGGTCTAGGGTCTAGGGTCTAGGGTCTAGGGTCTAGGGTCCAGGGTCCAGGGTCCAGGGTCCAGGGTCTAGGGTCTAGGGTCTAGGGTCTAGGGTCTAGGGTCTAGGGTTTAGGGTTTAGGGTTTAGGGTTTAGGGTTTAGGGTTTAGGGTTTAGGGTTTAGGGTTTAGGGTTTAGGGTTTAGGGTTTAGGGTTTAGGGTTTAGGGTTTAGGGTTTAGGGTTTAGGGTTTAGGGTTTAGGGTTTAGGGTTTAGGCATGCTGTGCTCCTGATGCAAGCGCTGCTTCAGGGCCTTCACGTCGCTCAGCTCCGCGAGAGGAAGGCTCGTCAGGTGCTGCCCGGAAAGCAGCATGATGTTCAGCATTGCTGGCTTAGGGTTTAGGGTTTAGGGTTTAGGGTTTAGGGTTTAGGGTTTAGGGTTTAGGGTTTAGGGCTTAGGGCTTAGGGTTTGGGGTTTGGGGTTTAGGGTTTAGGGTTTAGGGTTAGGGCGCAGGGGTCACGCAACAACTGGCTGCGGATACCGTGGTGTAGGTGCTACGGCTCCGAGTCCCTGGCTACGGAGTTGAGGCCGTTGGTTTTATCAGTTCACGAATCTAGGGCTCAACGTCGCAGGGTCTTTGGCAAGGACAACCTGCATGGGCTATTCTACCCTATAACTCCTTAAAAGGCCCTTTGTAAGGTTGGTTGGGGGATCATCAGGCCTACTTGGAGGTCCATGGTACTTCTTCACCAATTATAACTGTACTTCTAACTGTACTTATTACCAGATTAGGCACCCTTATAAGTGGGTTATAAGTACAGTTATAATTGCTTAAGAAGTACCATGAACCTCCAAGTCATAGCGCGTGCTGGAAAGGCTGGGTGTTCTGAGGAGAGCCGAAACTCATCCGTCGAGCGTTGTAAGCAGAAAGATCTCGACGAGGAAGCCCCCACCCCATCTCCTCGTCCCATAGTTGAACTCCTCAAGGCGCCCTAAACCCTAAACCCTAAACCCTAAACCCTAAACCCTAAACCCTAAACCCTAAACCCTGAACCCTGAACCCTAAACCCTAAACCCTAAACCCTAAACCCCAAACCCTAAACTCTCAACCCTAACCCTAAACCAGCCGAAAGGCCCAAGACTAGGGTGAGCATGGTGAGGCCTCTAGACCTTGCACTGGTCCATTGCAGGCTTTGGCTCTGAAGGTTTAGGGTTTAGGGTTTAGGGTTTAGGGTTTAGGGTTTAGGGTTTAGGGTTTAGGGTTGAGGGTTTTTGGTTTAGGGTTTCCCTGAACTGAAGCATTCAACCCAGCAATCTGGGTCAAGGGCTTACTTGGAAGCCCTAAGTCGACTGAGTATCCCTAGGTTTAGGGTTTAGGGTTTAGGGTTTAGGGTTTAGGGTTTAGGGTTTAGGGTTTAGGGTTTAGGGTTTAGGGTTTAACCCTACCAAACCCCCAAGCCCTACAACCCCCCCGGAATGCCATAAACCCTAAACCCTAAACCCTAAACCCTAAACCCTAAACCCTAAACCCTAAACCCTAAACCCTAAACCCTAAACCCTAAACCCAAGACCCCACCCCCGCCTTCCCCCACCCAAAGCATAGGCTAAGGCCTGAAGACTTTATGGGGTTTCCGAAATCCGCACCACCCTTTTGTTTGTTCGTACCTTCCCCCCCTCCCCCCTACCCCCTACCCCCCCCTACCCCCCCCCTACCCCTTCCCCCCACCCCCCCTCCCCGCCCCGACCACCCCCCCCCCCCCCACCCCCACCCCCCTTTTCCTGCCCAAAGCCACTGCAGAATACTGGTGAGCGGGTTTTCGAGGCTCAACTGGTGTATGCATTACACGAGCCGAAGAGTCTAAGCTTGAACCTAAACCTAAACCTTAAACCTTAAACCTGAAGCCCGAAGCACTCAACCCTCAAACCTTCAACAAACCCCCCCCCCTTCCCCCCCACCCCCCCTACCCCCCCCTGAGAGGCCTGGCTCAACCCTACGATCAATCCAAGCCGAACCGTCTTGAACCCTAAACCCAAAAAAACCTAAACCCCAAAGCGTGAACCTTGAGCCCTAAGCCCTCAATCCTAAACTAAACCCTAAACCCCAAACCATAAACCATAAACCCGGAACCCTAAACCCTAAACCCAACCCTTATTGCTTGGGGTCCAGCGACTTGGGCGCTGCGGAATCACCATGCTCACGCGGATGCGCTGGGCCGGGCCGAGGCGGGTCGCGTAGCGTTAAAATTAGGGGTAGTTTATTGGGGGTCCTTATTTGTGAGGGGAATGCTGCTACTTGGGGGGTCTGTAGTGGGGTCCCTTGTCTTCGTAAACCGCCCATTTTGGGGTGCGGGCATGAAGTGCTTCAGGATCGGGGACATGACGTCGTCGTTGACCCACTGGGGGTGAATGGTGGCATCAGCAGCGACCTGCGCAGGGCATTTAGGGTTTAGGGTTTAGGGTTTAGGGTTTAGGGTTTAGGGTTTAGGGTTTAGGGTTTAGGGTTTAGGGTTTAGGGTTTAGGGTTTAGGGTTTAGGGTTTAGGGTTTAGGGTTATTTAGAGTCCCCTTGTCGTGGGGTTCTCAGGTAAGGCAGAAAGATAGTTTTTTTGGGGTTCTCTCTTAAGGTCTAAAGGTCGGGTGTTAGGATTTAAGTCTTTAGGTGCTGGGTTCTGAGATTCACTCCGTTTTCTGATTTGGTTGGCTGTTGTAGATGTCTGGCTCATGGACTCCCACGAGCTTGACTGCAGGACGTTAGATTCGAGGGTTTAGGGTTTAGGGTTTAGAGTTTAGGGTTTAGGGTGCCAACATGAGATGCGAGAAGAGGAAGCGTACATTCTAAGTCGCGAAGGTCGCTGGCACGCCTCTTCTTTCAAGCCACTTGCGGCGCAACCCATCAAACTTGCGCCATCTTCCCCGCATCGATGCTCCTAACCCTAAACCCTAAACCCTAAACCCTAAACCCTAAACCCTGAACCCTGAACCCTGAACCCTGAACCCTAAACCCTAAACCCACTTTTTAACTTTACGGCTGCTTTGGGTCGAATAGGAATCAACTCAACGTGATGAAGTGCTGCTGGCGTAAGAAAAAACAACAAACCCAAAATATCCTAAGTACCTACATAGCAGAATTCAGGGTTTCTGTTATAGGAATTTCTGTTATGGTTCGGGTCAGTGTCCCCCATATAGGTACTTAGGACCCTTTGGGAAAGCAGGCGACACCCAACCAAGAGAAAGGCATCGACATCACAAACCCTACTTGGAGGCTCAGGGTACTTACCCCAAACCCTCAACCAAGTAGTAATTGTGCTTATAACACAAATATAACCATATTAGGGCGCTTAAGGGGCTGATAAGTGTTTGGGGTTTAGGGTTTAGGGTTTAGGGTAGTGGGTTATAAGTGCAGTCATAATGGATGAATAAGTACCCTGCACCTCCAAGCACAGAAAGCATCAATTCGGGACTCTCCTCAAAATCGAACAATGCATTTCTATTTTCCTTTGGGTTTCATGTAAACATACACGTAATTCTAAGGTGGAACCCTATAAAACCCTAAACCCCAAACCCCAAACCCTGAACCCTGAACCCTAAACCCTAAACCTGAACCCTAAACCCTAAACCCTGAACCCTAAACCCTAAACCGTAAACCCTAAACCTGAAACCCCCAAGCCCCGAAACTTAGCGATGCTTTGTGCGCGAACCTCCCGCTCGAAGTAGCCCTCGAGGAGGCAAAGGCCGACTGCGCTATCTCCTGTGACTGGCGCTTTTGAAGCCCTGAAGGGTTTAGGGTTTAGGATTTAGGGTTTAGGGTTTGGGGCTTGGGGTTTAGGGTTTGGGGTGAGGGAAAACACAGTGTGCAAAGCAGGGAATTCCAGAAAGCTTGCAGCCCATCGACTGAGGCGAGGATGGGCCTATGCAGAAGGGGCCCTTCATGGCTAGGAGTTCGCGGTTTCGAGGTCTATGTAGAGCCCTCCCATATATAGGGACTTTGAGGTCCACGTATATGATACTGAGGCACACGGACAGAAAGCCCAAGCAGCCCAAGCAGCCTACACCCTGAAGGAAAAAAGGATCATACAATCATATGTCATGTACCACGTGCGTGTAACGATCCAAGAAGACACCACGCAAGTATTGGCCTCTTGATAAACCCTAAACCCGAAATCCCTAAACCGTAAACCCTAAACCCTAAACCCCTGACCCCTAAACCCTAAACCCTAAACCCCTAAACCCGATTCTCTGGCTTGGCTGCTACGCCCCGATATTACCGCGTTCATTCGGGCCTGAGGAACCGAAGATGGCCCCCTGAAACCCTCTGAAACATATTCCTGCATAGGGTTTAGGGTTCAGGGTTTAGGGTTTAGGGTTTAGGGTTGATCCTCTTAAGCCAAAGAAGGGAAAACTCTAAATGTCCCAAGGGCCTACCTAGCTTTTGAGCATCTTGGCATGCTCGGTCACTTGAGGGTTTGGGGCTTGGGCTTTGTAGGGATCTCAGACTCAGGCCCGAGGATACTCTTAAACCAGAAGCCTTCAAGCCCCTAACCCCTAAACAGTAGCCCTAAAACCCTAAACCCTAAACCCTAAACCCTAAACCCTAAACCCTAAACCCTAAACCCTAAACCCTAAACCCTAAACCCTAAACCCTCTAACGACATGATTGCCCAAAAACCCCATAGTCGGTCTCCAGGAATATGAAGGCGGTCTGTGAGCTTCTCGATCCTGAGCAAAGGAAGACACTCAGCCCTACCTTCCTCCGTAGCCTAGGCTGGGTTTAGGGTTTAGGGTTTAGGGTTTAGGGTTTAGGGTTTAGGGTTTAGGGTTTAGGGTTTAGGGTTTAGGGTTTAGGGTTTAGGGTTTAGGGTTTAGGGTTTAGGGTTTAGGGTTTAGGGTTAGGGTTTAGGGTTTAGGGTTTTTAGGGTAGGGTTTAGGGTTTAGGGTTTAGGTTAGGGTTTAGGGTTTTTAGGGTTTTTTAGGGTTTAGGGTTTAGGGTTTAGGGTTAGGGTTTAGGATTAGGGGGGGGGGGGGGGGGGGGATATCTCCCTTTTCATTCAATTGTTTAGGGTCCAGCGTCAAGGGTTTAGGGCTTAGGGAAGCCAGCGCCCAAATTCACGGGAACAAGGGTGCCATCAGAAATCTGCCCTCAAGCCCAGACACGGACGCTTTTGGATGTTGCGACTGCCCGGATCCTCCGTACCTCTCGAATATGAGAATAACAGATCGTTGAAGGATAGTGCAACTCTTGTATGAATGAAGGTAACCCCAAACCCCCCCCCCCCCCCCCCCAAAAAAAAAAAAAAAAAAAAACAACCCAAACCCCAAACCCCAAACCCCAAACCCCAAACCCGAAACCCGAAACCCGAAACCCGAAACCCGAAACCCCAAACCCCA